GGGAACACACTTGCTGCCACTCTGAGTAACGCTCGGAGAGCGGGCACACATTTTGTGATGTCATGTTTCTCATGGACGTCAACCAGACTAAATACCCTTACTGCCATCACCCGCTCTAGAGATTCTCCGGGGGGGGGACCCAAGGGGGGTTCCGACAGAAAAGGGCTGTATGTGTGCCTCTGTGCTGAGCCCAGGCTGCGGTCTCACGTTAGATCTGTGGTGAGCCGGCGCGCACTGAGAGGAGGCGTGAGCGTTTTCTGAGTGAGACATCGTTTCGGTGGAGGCTGCAGCTGTCGTGGAGAAACACATTTACTCCCGCTGCGTGGTGAGTGGGCAAAAACAGCAGAAAATAAAATGGGCTCTGGTTGAGAGCGAGGGATTTTACCGGACTTGGTCTGCTGAAAAAAAACATCAATTTAGCTGACGTGGCAGACGAGTGTTTTGTGATATTTACCGAACTTCGGTGCCTTTTAAAACGCTGTTTAGAGGTTACCGGCTTGTTTTGTGTGAGGAATGTGTGAAGAGAGGCAGCTGTGAGATCAGCTTATCTGACAGTCAGGCTAAAATCAGATGAAACTTTACTTTCAGAGATGTTTCTGTTTTATTTTAAAACATACATCATCAAAAAACACGCACATTCCCCTCAAGGAGCTGTATCCTGGTGGAGGGGGCCGGCAGAGGAGCGGAGCGTGAAGTCGCTGCCGCAGCTGTGGAGTGCCACTGCTGCTGTTGCTGGCCACGGTGGTCCCTCCAGCGGCCAGAGGAGCGGGTGGAGGACTGTGATGTCACCAAATGGTGTACTATCTCTGAGACCTCCTCGGACCTCTGCAATTTCTCAAGGATGGTCCTGAAGTTGGCCCCAAACAGAGCCTCTGGGGTGATGGGGCCCTCCAGCAGGTCTCTCTGCGGCCTCTTGGACAAAGATGGCGAGAGGCGGAGCCAGGTGGTTCTCTGGATCATGGTCATCCAGGCGGCGATGTGGGACAAGCAGACCGCAGAGGTGGCGCACATGTTTAAGATGATGCCAGCGGCTTTACATAGAGAGCTCTTTGTCTGGCGGCTGATCTAAATCAGACTGCCTGCTTCGCAGCTTGATTGAATACTTGCAGCCAAGTTATAGTTTACGTTTACCGTCCAGGAGATATTTATCAGTACAACAGTAGACAATCATAAAAAAGCATATGAACTAAAAAAGAAAAAAAAATGTTATATAAAAAAACCGAAACAAAAAACAGCTACATTATAAAGTGATATAAAATACTAAAAACAGGAACATGTCTGTGTTGGTTTATGCCATGAACTTAGCAGATGTTTGAAGCCATTTAATCACTTTAAAATCCACTTTAAAGCTAGGAATAAAAATGCATGTTTTGTGTTAGCAGGATTTAATCCTAACTTTGAAATTTATCCAACATTAAAAAAACTTACCTAAAGTTGCCTTTTTGGACATTAATGCATATATTTGTACAGATTATACTTGCCTATAGAGATATTACAGCTTCATATAAAATCAATAATGATTATGATGATATCGGAATAGTATCGGTCGATATCCAGATTTATGTATCGGGATCGGATAAAAAACAAAAAACAAAAAGTGGATCGGTGCATCCTTAGTAGGAAGGATATCCAACCATAAACTCGTTGCCAACCCTTGCATGCAAGATGTCAGCAGCCGACATCTTTAACTCCTCACTTACCCTGGCAACAGTTCCCACCTGCCTGAAGACTGCCACCATCATCCCAGTTCCAAATAGCTCTACAGTGACTGATCTGAATGACTATCGGACCAGTGGCCCTCACCCCGATAGTCGTTAAATGCTTCGAAAAACTGGTCATGACCCACATCGAAACAACCATCAACATCAATGAGGACCCTCATCAGTATGCATATCGCGAAAACCAATCAACAGAGGACATCATCTCTTCTGTGGTCCACACTGCGCTCAACCACCTGGAGCAGAAGGACTTCTATGTCTGTAGCTCTTTGTGGACTTCACGTCTACTTCAACACCATGATCCCCCAAACCCTGATGGACAAACTACTCACACTAGGACTAAGCCCCTCCATTTGCAACTGGGTCCTAGACTTCTTAAACAGACCGCAGTCATTGAGGATTCACAACTTCTCTTCTTCCACCATAAACAGCACTAGCTCCCCTCAGGGATGTGTGCTGAGCCCTCTCCTGTTCACTCTGCTCATGTATGATTGTGCAGCTACCCATCCAGCGGTGGTGAGATGCATCACAAACAACGATGAGTCCAGCTACAGGCTGGAGGTGGAACACCTGGAGAGCTGATGCAAAGAGAATAACCTTCACATCAATGTGAAGAAGACAAAGGAGATGATCGTGGACTTCAGAAGGAACAAACACACCTACGCCCCCTTGAACACAGTAAGATGATCTGCGGTGGAAGTGGTCTCCAGCTACAAGTACTTGGGTTTACACCTGAATGACAACCTCAGCTGGGGCAACAACACCACCAGCCTGATCAAGAAAGCTCATCAGAGACTCTACTTCCTCAGACGGCTGAGACGAGCTGCTCTGGGAAGCTCAGTCCTCACCTCCTTCTACAGGTGTGCAGTGGAGAGCATCCTGTGCTCCAGCATCAATGTGTGGCATGGAGGCTGCACAACTGCAGAAAGAAAAGCTTTGCAGAGAGTGGTGAAGGCTGCACAGAAGACTGTTGGAGTCAGTCTCCCCACCATCACAGACATTTACACCTCCAGATGCAGGAAGAGGACCACCTGCATCATGAAGGACCCCACTCACCCAGCACACACACTTTTTGCCCCGCTTCCCTCAGAAAGGAGGTTAAGGAGCATTAAGTCCACTAGACTGAGGAACAGCTTCTACCCTGAAGCTGTTAGACTTATGAATCTCTAATCAGGATAATCACTGTGAAAAATCACATCATGTTTTTGCTGATCTGTTTCATGTTGCTGTGTTCATACGTGCTCATCTGCTCACACAGACTCGTGTTCGTGCTGCTATTCGACGTAATGTTTTTATGCTATTAGTGCTTATTGTATTTTAGTTTATGTATTTCTTAGTTCATATCTTAGATTTTATTACTGTTTTTCTTTTACATTTTATTGTTGGATGTAACTGGGACCCTGTGCACATAATCTCGTTCCACCACATGTACATGTGTTGTGTATGACAAATAAATTTCTCTGACTCTGATATGTTTGTAAGAAGTGCCTTTATTTTCTTTAAAACGCATCAAGCATAAAATATCTGCTTTTTTTCTATTCTGTCATTAACTTTGCTCGAAAACATTTGTTTGATCTACTGAAATATGCAACAATCCTTTATATGTGATAGAGATGTTTCACTTGTGGTGCTTCTTCCTGAATATTCTTATTTAGTCTTTTTATTTTTTTTTAATGTTTCATATAAGAGCAAAGCTACATATATTTCTGCAGGGATTTTTTTCTCCAATTTTTTTCTTCACTTTCTTCACTTTCTACATTCCCCCTCACATCGTTAAGTCACTTTCTCCAACTTGCATTTTAGTTTTGCCATGTCTCTCCCTTTTTCAATTTTGATTACTTTGCCTCTGCTTTAGTCTTTAATCAAACAAAATGCGAGTTTAGGCTCAGGGATATATTTGAGCTTCTCACAGTGCACACTGTCACAAGGAAAAATATACCCTGGGAGGGTCAAGTCCATAACTATTTGAGAACATGTAAAGGAATGTAGCAAAAGGTGGGGCATGGTAATGTGCCTGCACATTTTGTGTTAAGGAGCTAGAAAAGAACCTTAAGAGAAATAAATGTTACAGTATATTCACAGAATTTCTAACAAACCACAGGGGATACGAGATAGTGAGACTTGAATATATAAGTGATTAAATTGTAGTAAACGTTACATTCACAGCTATAAAAAGGTAAAAAATACCTCTATTTCTACTGTTTGTGTTTAACAATTTAGTTTTACATTTAAGCAAACTCTTGATTAGCATCGTCATTTATAACAATGTTAATTAATCAGGTCTCTCTTGTAAATGAGTCCCAGAGGCTCAATGGGATTAACCTGTATAAATAAAGGTTGAATGAAATGAAATTCAATTAAATTCAGTTTATTTATATAGTGCCCAGTCACAACAGACGTTATCTGAGGGCAGTGTACAAAAACATGCATATACATAAAAATTAAATTAGTAACATTTATCTAAGGTAGGGTAATTAAATCTTTCTTATCATTACATAGCAGTAAATAAAACTCACTATCTCATAATCCTACCTCCAAAACCTTATTTCACGAACTTACCATTTTTCCACAATCATTCAAATTAAGACTAGATGGCGTGAAACACTGAAGGCACAGTTTATAGCCTCTTTACATAGACTCAGCCTACACGGTGTCAGAATGACAGATACTTCTCTAAACAACAAAACATGTCTAGTAACCTTTCATCAAGTGTCCAATAACTTTCTATTAGAGTCCATTATTTAGTGCTATCCATGCCAGTAAAGACACTTTAATTCCCTTCTTTACGCCGCACCCTTAGGTGCTGCAGTCGTTTTTTTCAGCCTTTATTCCCAATTCAATAACCACAATGTCTTTAGAGCACTCTGGAGGTCTTCTAGTGTAATACTGTTTGACAGCAAGGCTGCACAGACTGATCGAAATTTGCTAAAATCTGATAAAACTGTGAGGCCTGAAGGTGATGCCTGGCGTTTTATGAAACTGTCACAGTTTGTCTCTGCAAAACGGGGGAAAGAAGCACAGCTCACTGGCTGATGAGTTCCACACATACTCAGCGGGGAACTCATAATATCATAAGGCCTTCACAGTGCCAGCACAAAGAAAAACATAGTATTATCCTCTACGAAAAAATAAAAGCGTTTAGGATGAATAACCCTCACAGCTTTTCAGAAGAGCAAACTAACCAATCCTTCACAGAAATGGGAAAACACATCGTTTTAAGTTCCAAAGCAGCAATTTGGTAAAATGTCAAGCGCTAATAAGATTCGGCTAAAGGATGCCTACCTGCTCTGCGTGCCTCAAAGCATGCTTGACCCATCTCATCTTTTAGCTCTTGGTTCTCTGAGGCAATGGCCTCTCCGACGGCAACAAAACGTCCCACTGCCACGTTCACTGCCTGACCCACCCTGTGGATCGCTGCCAGGGTGCGCTCTGACTTCTTTGGCTTGTCTTTGTGGTTGATCAGGGTGGTGATCTGCAGGGATTTAGAAGAAATAATATAAGAAATCAGTACATCTGAGTCAGGGATCAAGTTGGTTGTAGCTGTTTATTGCCCACAGCTGGTTGAACAGAAACGCACACAAGGAGCTCAGGTGTAAATTTTACTGAAGGTATCAGTTATAAATAGGTAGATCCAGTCATCATTAATTATTTATTGATTACCTTTACTCTCCAGCTTGTTGCAAGCTTAAGTGAGGGTTAAATGTTGTGTGTGTGGTAAACCATCTGGGTCAGGAAGTGGTGGGTGGTGGATTTAATTGGCACACAGCTGTAGGTGGTCCGAGAGGGGAGTCTGTTACAGGAAAATCTCTGTGGGATTCAGAACACTAGTTCTGCTGAGCTCGGAGGGCTACGTGAATGAGCAGCATCCCGTCAAAGGAATGTGAGACACAGGGGCCTTTCCTCACAAAACCATCTGAATTAATTACATCCAAATGAGTAGATCTCGTTTGGACCTGAAATGTCCAGTAGAAGCTTTTACTTTTGTTCTCACTCTGAAACTGTCCTCAGTTAGCAATCCCTGACCCTAATTACTGACATGCTTGTTTTTCTACAACATAAAGATGAAACATCCTGCTTTAGTTGTGCAGGAAAAAGCCTGGAGGCCAACCGTTTGTTGCACCGATGTTTTATACAAACACAGTGTACCTGACACTCTATGCTGTTATAACTGGGTTCCTATAGCAATGGTTTTATTCCTAGATTGTTTTACTGTTGTATCGCATGCCCATCCGTTTATCCATTTTCTTCTGCTCATCTATAGTTGGATCTTGGAGGCAACATATACAGGTGGGAGTACCCAGACATCCCTCTCACCAGTGACACCACCCAGTTCCTTCTGGTGTATCACAAGGTGTTCCCTGGCTCTACATTTCATGTAATTAGCAAATATTACATCCACACAGTGGTTCCCTTGGTTCAAGGTTCTTTATTGTCATTTGCATCACATGCGGTACATGAGGTGGAACGAAATTGTGTACCCAAGGTCCCAGTTACACCCAACAATAGCAAAAATATAAAGTATAAAATGTAACAGTATATAAGGATCTAAGATATACTGTAGGTCTATGCTAAACACTAATAATGTAAAATAATACGGTATATTAAATAGCAGCCTGAACATGAGTCTGTAGTGAGCAGATGGGTATGACTGGTTGCCATTAGACTGATTACCAACAAACTGACTGGTGAATATATCTGATGATTTCTGAGTGTAAAAATAAATCCTTTACCTATCCATTTTTTTTTTTTGGTCCATCGATCAACCATAGTTAAGCAGCTAATTCGCAGCAGTCTGTAACTTGGTGGCATTTTGAACAACAACAAAAAATAAAATAAACATTTTCTTTGATGTTAGTTATAGTTTGTACAGATAAATTAGAATGGACCAAAATCTGAATCTGCAGATGGGAGCTTTATAAAAATAAATATGAAAGAAAGAAAAGAAAAGAAAATAGGTCTGTAAAAAACAATGAGTGCTTCTCCAGTGACAGCGATAGGCAAGTCTGAGTGAAACTGTGAAAAAGATTCAAAATACAATAAACAAAGATTTACACTTGAATGGCTCAAGGCCTTTTCTTTCATAAACTGATGAAGCTACGTATATGACATTTAAAACTTGTATAGGGGGCTTTGGTTGTAAATAAATCCCCAGTAAAGACTACTTTTCCTTTCTATAGCTCTATCATTTCTGCATCGTTTGCTAAACCTTTTAGATTCAGAGTACAGACAGCAGCCGGGACAGAAACCTGCAGACTTTTCCTTTTCATTTATTGGTGTTTAAAAAGGAGTGAATGAAAGAAAGGAACCTGCTTTGCCCCCCAAAAAATCTTTTGTGCTCTTTTTATCTAAAACCCTCCCCTGTCAGTATCCACCTGATGGCCTTGCAACATTTCCAACATACTGACAAAAGTTGCTACTTGTCAAACAGCTTTTTTTTTTTTTTTTTTTGCTCTTGGTTGTCAGACTGTCGTTCAGCTGCAAGATCATGTCAGCCTGAAGTGCTCATTAAGCACTTCTCTTAGTCCATTTGTTGCCATTTTATGTACCATTTTGCCCTTTCTTCACCTCAACGTCAGAATTTCCCTTGCTGTAAGCCTGGTGTTTATCAGTGACTCGTCCACACAGAATAGGTGATTTATTTTAGAAAACACCAATGACGACTGGCTGGACATTTTCCATCATTAATCAGGCATTCCTCTGGACATTAACCAGAGGAAACTGGGGCACCCTGACACATTATTCAGATATGCATCATACATAGACCTTATGTAATGCAACATGCTTAATAAACGATCTTGTGCCTCCACAAGATGCTTGCATGCATATCTGAATGAATAAAAAATTTAAAATAAAAGGCCTGGTGGTCCTTGATGGAATGCAAATCTCCCACAGTCCTTCAAGTCAGAGATTTTAGACTAAGATCTTATGTGTGAAAAAAAAAATTAAAAGGGTTGTAGCTATTTTGATCAAAACTTGAAAATATGTTGAGCACAATCTCATGCTCAGAGTAAGTGTTATGAATGACTCAGCTAACACCACACCAATTATTTTTAGCACAGTACCTGTAAGAATTACTGAATTACGCCCAGTTTTTTTTTTTTTCAAGTAACTTTGTTGTGGCACCAATATTACAGTTTACTCCAAAAGTTAATCAGTTATAGATGTACGTTTATGGGGTGTCGTATGTAAAGTTACACAGTCAAAAGTTAACAGCAATATTTTGGTTTATTTAGCCTTTCATAAGAAAAAATATATAGGTTTTTTTTTTCAAAGTCATATTTTCACCATGTTATTCATACATTTATAAATGTCACAGTTCCCAAATAAATATTTAATTTCCAAGCTAAATATTTAGTTTACAAACCAAATACTTAACTTGCAAGTTAAATATTTAGTTAGTAAACTAAATATTTAGGTGTAAATTAAATGTTTAATTTCCAAGCTAAATATTTATTTTCAAAACTAAACAGTTAATTTCCAAACTAAATATTTATTGTCCAAGCTAAATATTTAATTTCTGGCACCCATGTCCAGCAATCACTGTGCAAGGGGCAGGGTACACCCTGGACAGGTTGCAAGTCCATCACAGGGACCCAAACTAAACATTTTATTCCTAAGCCAAACATTTAATTCCTAAACTAAATATTTAATTTCCTAACTAAATATTTAGCTTGGACCTAAATATTTATTTTCCAAGCTAAACATTTAATTTCCAAAATAAACATTTAATTTGCTAACTAAACATTTATCTCAGACCTAAATATTTAACTTGAAAGCTAAATATTTAGCTCACAAGTTAAATATCTAGGTCCAAGTTAAACATTTAGTTAGCAAATTAAATATTTAGTTTGAGAATGAAATGTTTAGCTTAGAAATTAATTTAGTTTGGAAATCAAATATGTAGCTTGGACAATAAATATTTAGTTTGAAAATTAAACTTTTAGTTTTGAAATAAATATTTAGCTTGGAAATTAAATATTTAATTTACACCTAAATATTTAGTTCACTAACTAAATATTTTGTTGGGAACTATGACATTTATAAATGTATGAATAAAATGGTTAAAACATGACTTTGGAAAAAAAACGTTTTTTTCTTATGAAAGGCTAAATATACTAAAATACAGGTATTGCTCTTAATTTTTGACTGTGTAACTTTACAAACGACACCCCATTAAACATTCAATAATTTCATTCTACAAGTTTATTTAAAATGTGTCGACCAGTTTGTGCGTTATTTTGCCAACACACCGACACAAACATGAACGGACAAGCAAAAACCTCCTTAAACCTGTTGTCAGCAGGCAATAAGCATGCACCTTGCATCCTATAAGGAAACTTAGAGCATGAAAGAGGAGGCAAATATGAGAGCTGCAAGAAAGGAATGACAAGGAGGAAAGAAAGTGACAACAAAAACCGATGAGACAAAAGAACAAAATGTCATAGTTACATGAACAAGTTTAACATTGTGAGAGTAAAGAAGAAAAAAAAAACAAAGAAAAAAATGTCCCTGTGAAAACAAGCACTCATTGGGATTTCCTCTGCTTGGGATTACTAGGTTACATTGACTGTGCAAACAGGAAGCGAGCAGGGTGGAGAAAACATAATATTGATCCAGTGCCATCACATAGGGCAAGCCTTTGTGCTTTGTGTATATCAATGGAAACTTTGTGCCACGAGGGAGAAAAGTGAACATTCCTTTAGCGCTAAAAGAAAGAAAAGAAAACCTTAATAAGCAAAGTTCAAAAGTTGAGTTTAGAAAAACACATCGAGGAATTTCACTGTTGATTTCTGACTGTTAGCAGCTAATTTTGACAATGGCTGCGATTGCACTTTGCACATACAATGACAAATGAGAAATAAATGACAGCAATTCATGATGGAGCTGCAAATGCTTTATATAATAAAGGAAATCCTACTACAACCACTGTACTATGTATTAGTACTGCTGCTATTACATCATTAGTACAGCTTTATCAATGGTTTTGACTATTCTGATTTGAACTTCATGCTTTAAACGCCAAACAACAGAACTCCTGCTCTTCCAAACCCGCTGTAAATTAAGTCAGTGCCCCACAATTCATCTCTCATCTCTTTTTTTTTAAACAATTAGAAGAAAATTACAAGGCTGTAAGAAAACAACAACAGCATCAATACTTCACTGTGAATAACTACGTCCACCCACTGGTTAGCAGGAAATCTGGGCTAACACCTCAAGGATGCAGTAACTGACCATAAATCAGAGGCGAACAAAAGGTGGAAACATTTGTGGCTGCCTCCCATGGATACAGACTGAGCCTCACTGAATGTCCACGGTGGGAGAAAGTTTGATTTCATCAGTAATTCTGTCCCTCAGCCCGTTTCTTTTTTTTTTTTTACAGTTCTCATTGTTGCCATTGCAGAAGAAAAATGTGCTCTTCTCAAAACACCCCAGCAAGATTAAAGTGAGTGTGAACAAGCTCTGATCCACTGG